GCTACCATGCCTGGCTAATTTTTTTTTTAAATTTTTGATAGAGACAGGGTGTCCCTATGTTGCCTAAGCTGGATTTGAACTCCTGGGCTCAAGTGATCCTCCTGCCTTGGCCTCCCAAAGTGCTGGCATTAGAGGTATGAGCCACTGTGTCTCGTGTTTATTTTTAATTGAAGTATATTTAGGACATGAGGAAATGCTCATGATCACATGGTAGGAGAACGAAGTAGGGTACAAGACTATATTTGCAGTACGATCCCAGTTTTGTAAGACACACACACACATTGATGATGATGATGATGACAAGAAAACAGCACATGTGACCAGGCGTGGTGGCTCACGCCTGTAATCCCAGCTACTCGGGAGGCTGAGGCAGGAGAATTGCTTGAACCTGAGAGGTGGAGGGCAGAGGGAGCTGAGATCGCACCATTGCACTCCAGCCTGGACAACAAGAGTGAAGTTCTGCCTCAAAAAAAAAAAAAGAAAAGAAAAAGAAAATGGCACATGTGCATATATATGATATATGTTAGGAAAACGATTAGAAAAAAATGCACCCCAATGTTAGCAATGTAACCTGTGGAAGTCAGGATCACAGATAACTAATGTTTTTCTGAATACCTTTACTAAATTTCCAAATTTTCATCTGAGCCTTTGTTCCTTTTACAATCAGGAAAAAATAATTAAGATTGCTATTGGAAAATACTGTAAAGGGGCAGGGCCGCCTGGCTGTCTTTGCCCAGAAGCGGCCAGTGACTGCATACAGTTCATGTGCCCTGAGGCGGCTGCCTTGGTGATCCGAATGCTGTTGAGCTTGGGGTCTTTTAGGTCCTGGTACCCTAACCCTAACCCTAAGGCGCTCTGGGTTTCTGCAACCTTCGGCAGGTCTAGCACCTAATATTCTGCTCACGTCTGAGTTTTAGTCCACCAACAGTGCTGGTGTCCTTTCCCCCAAAAGAGTGACATCACTTATTTAGTTCATTTCTTCCTTCCTTCCTTTCCTAGCCCTTTCCACAAAGGATTTGGAGATGCCTAAAACAATATAATCTGGATTTCATAGGATGGTCCTAGATTTGTTGCATTTTTTTTTTTTTTTTTTGGTTTAGCGCCACAAACATGGGCTAGAGGGAAGATGAACACTGTGGTTCCTCTGACCCTCTGCCTGGTGGTGGTCATGCCTGGCCAGAAATGAGCCTTGCACCTCAACTGCAGGCCAGGCCAGATTTAGCTCAGCCTGGGCACATCCTCCCAGGTGTGGTGGAGCCACCTCCATCCTGACCCTGGTTCTTTTCACTGACTGGCCCCTGGAGCTGACTCCGTCCTGGCCTGAGGGCCCCTCTGCTTGCTGCCACCACAGCGGCCACAGGGATGCAGCCCGTTTATTCGTAAAACCGAGGCCCAGAGAGTGGCCTGTGTCTTCCACAGGTGACTGGGGAAGGGCTGGGGAGGGGCACAGACCTTCCCTGCCTCAGAGGAGGCTTAAGGAAGGGTGGGCAAGGGAGGGGAGCAGATCGGGCAGCCACTACTCTGGGGGGACCTTGGACTGTGAAAAGGGGTGGGGGAAGGAAAGCTTACAGGGCACCCATAGGCTGGGGTGCCCACCTGGCAGGATCTCTTGGCTTCTGAGCACCCCTTAAATTATCCTCACTTGATCATCCCTATTTTATTGTTGTTTTGAGACAGTTTTGCTCTTATTGCCCAGGCTGGAGTGCAATGGGGCAATCTTGGCTCACTGCAACCTCAACCTCAAGGGTTCACGCGATTCTCTTGCCTCAGCCTCCCAAGTAGCTGTGATTATAGGCGCCCACCACCACGCCTGGCTAATTTTTTGTATTTTTAGTAGAAACCGGGTTTCACCATGTTGGCCAGGCTGGTCTCGCACTCCTGATCTCAGGTGATCCACCCGCCTCAGCCTCCCAAAGTGCTGGGATTACAGGCATGAGCCACTGCGTCCCGCCAATCATCCCCACTTTTCAGCAAACGAAGCTCAGGCATTTTCCGTTTGTCTGTGGTCCAGCCTCCCATCCAGGTGGGGACTCAGGGACACCTCCTACAGGAAGTCGGGGAACGGCTCAAGGATTGAGCGGTGCTCTGATCTCTGAGGACTTGGAGCCTGGGTTGGGAGGCCTGAGACTTCTAAAACCCACCACACATTCTCAGAAGACAGCTCTGGCCCTTTGTCTCTGGCTGTCCCATCATGGTGTCAGAATAACGCAGGTCCTTCTCTGAGCCTACCGGAGTTTCCCAAGGGCAAGATTGGTTTCTCTTCATGTTTGTCCTGGCACAGCTGAGTCTCACATACAGTATGTGCTCAATAAATGCATGGTGAATGAATGATGGCCCAGTGGATACATAAGGAGAGCCAGCTGATCCCCCACCAGGCTGGGCCACTCAGGGGTCAGGCCTTGCTCAGCTTCCCAAAGCATGTGGTCTGAGCCCACAGGGAAGTCACTGCGTCCTCTCACTTGTCCCCTCTCCCTATGAACTATGGGGGGATTGGTCAGGTGGCCCACACGAGTCCTTCCCAACCTCCCCCATCCCGACTGGGCCTTCGCTGCCTGTGTCTGAGTGGACCAGGATCTGGCATCAGGGCCCAGGATGCAGAGGCCAGCCCTGTTCTCCATCTGCAGGGACCTCCGAAGGTCCAGTTTTGGCACAGGCTGCAGCAGAGCCAGATCCCTACTCCCGTCACTTGGCAGCACTTGCTCACCCTCCCGACATTTCTGGGGTGTGAGAAGGGTGGAGAGGGATGATGAAATACCCCCGTCCTGAGGTCCAGGGAGCTTTGGCCCAGGAGGGGGCTCTGGGGCTAACGCTCCCCCTAGTGTCAACTCAGGGGCCTTAGGGACCTGAAGAGATGTGGACAGTTGGTGGCAGCACTGATCCAGGGTGGTGGCTGTGGGAGGTGGGAAGGGCAGCCGTGGACGGCAGAGAACCCTGGGCCCCGGCCTATGGTGTCACTCATAATCATGACAGTGACCAGCTCATGAGTGCCTGTGGCCTTTTTCTTTTTTTCTTTTTTTTTTCTTTTTTTTTTTGAGTCTTTCTCTGTCGCCCAGGCTGGAGTGCAGTGGTGCGATCTCGGCTCACTGCAAGCTCCACTTCCCGGGTTCATGCCATTCTCCTGCCTCAGCCTCCCCAGTAGCTGAGACTACAGGCGCCCGCCACCACACCCGGCTAATTTTTTGTATTTTTAGTCGAGATGGGGTTTCTTTTTTTTTTTTTTTTGAGACAGAGTCTCGCTCTGTCGCCCAGGCTGGAGTGCAGTGGCCGGGTCTCAGCTCACTGCAAGCTCCGCCTCCCGGGTTTACGCCATTCTCCTGCCTCAGCCTCCCGAGTAGCTGGGACTACAGGCGCCCGCCACCTCGCCCGGCTAGTTTTTTTGTATTTTTTTGTAGAGATGGGGTTTCACCGTGTTAGCCAGGATGGTCTCGATCTCCTGACCTCGTGATCCGCCCGTCTCGGCTTCCCAAAGTGCTGGGATTACAGGCTTGAGCCACCGCGCCCGGCCCCCAGGATGGTCTCGATCTCCTGACCTCATGATCCACCCACCTTGGCCTCCCAAAGTGCTGGAATTACAGGCATGAGCAACTGTGTCTGGCCTTTTTTTGAGACAGTGTCTCGAGAGCTCTGTTGTCCAGGCTGGAGAGCAGTGGTGCAATCATGGCTCACTGCAGCCTCAAACTCCCGTGCTCAAGCAATCCACCTGCCTCAGCCTCCCAAGTAGTTGGGACTAGATGCATGCACCACCACACTCAACCAATTTTTAAACTTTTTGTAGAGGCAGGGTCTCACTATGTTGCCCAGGCCACCTTTTCTTCTTGCTCTAACTCCCCAACTGGAAAAATATCACTTCTACTTGGGGAAACTGAGGCCCAGAGATGAGGTCAAGTTTGCAAGCTGGCCTCTGAGGGCAGGGTAGGAGAGGGGAGGTGGGCAGTTAAGAGGCCCTGCCAGATCCCTCATCGGGAGGCTGTGCGATCTGGCCTTAGAGTGGAGGTTGCTTCATCCAGCTCAGCGGGGGCCACGGTCTTGCCACGGTGTTTGGACAGTGACTGAGGCCAGGGGCACCAGGAGCCTGCTTGTGACCCGCCACCTCCCCTCCCAACCCCGTTCTGCCTGTTTGCAGCCTGGGGCTGTGGGCCAAGCTGGGTGTCCGCCCCAGGCTGCAGGGTTCCAGCTCCTCAGAAGCTAGGAGCAGGGGACCCGCCACCCCTCAGACAAGGAGGCTGGGTGACAAGGGTCCGTCCCCTACCCTTGCTGAGCCGGGACAAAACCACACTGCAGGGGCAGCTGCCTGCCTCACTCCTCCCGGGTGCTCTGTGAGGCCCCATGCCCAGCTGGCGTGCTTTTCTGGGCAGCCTTCCCAGGGCTTGGTGAGCATGGCCACAGCCACCCTCATGTCTTGCTTCTCTCCCATCTTCAAGCCAGCCAAGGCTGCCAAGCCAGGCCTCCTCCCTCCTCAGTTTCTCCAGCGAGGGAAGGGGTTCCTCAGGGATTTCGCTCAGTGCCTTGGGCTGGCTGAGACTCCTCAAAAAACCCTGGCTGGCTCTTGGAGCCTCTGTTTCCTTCGCTGTAGAATGGAAATGGGGGAGACTTGCCCATACCCCATGGAGATGTTTGGAGATGCACTTGCAGATAATGTAAGTAAAAAGTGGACAGCACACGGTAGGTGCTCAGGAAAATGTGCTCAGAGGAGAGTTATGAGTGACACCAGTCTTGTCCTGCTGTTTGGGCTGGGGCAATAGAGAGGCGCCAGCCAATGCCTGCACCGTGGGGAAGCCCAGGTCAAACAGCAGCAGGTCTCGGGGAGAAGGGAACCCCAAAGGGCTCATGTGCCTCAAATCCCCAACCTCTAGTTTGGCAGGGGCAGTGGGCCATGGCCTTTTGGGCAGGGGTCCTGTGCCCTGGATCTTGCCCAGCTCCAAAGCTAGTAAGCCCCAGGGAGGCCACCCCCACCAAGTGAAGTGGGCGTGAAGACAGATGATGGCAAAGGGACTTCCAGATGCACGAGATCAAATGTTTATTGATTTTTTCCTAAAATACTATACATTTAAAGGAACTCTTCAACTGAAAAGACGACAATTTTTGGTAAATCTGTAGCACAGAAATGAGGATTTCTGCTGGTAAGTTCTCGTGACAGACACAGACACAGGTCCACTTTCCAAGCAAGACATCTGCTCACTGGAAACAGTAAATGCATAGCTCGTGATGGCGGTGGGCACTGCTAAGTTACATAAAATACAGGTTCTCCCCCACCCCCGGCCGCCCCATGTGACCACAGTGTAGCTCTGGCTGCAGCACCTGCTCCCTGGCGACTCTGGGCAGCCAGAGAGACTTGTGCGGTGGGTAAGACCCAGCTTTTGTTTGCACACAAGTAATAGGACGACTGAAATCTGCAACTACTGCAAAGTGGCGGGCACTTTTACAGTGTTCTGCTACGGAACCAGGACAAAGGCCAGTCAGAAGCCGGACCAGCAGTCAGCCGGTGATGACAAGCCTCCCTCCAGCAGGCACCACGTCAGAGAGGCCCCAGGCCCACTGAGCCCAGGAGGAGACCCAGCTGGCCAGCCAGACCTGTGCCCGAATGCCACAGACTTCAAGCAGTTTACAAATGAAACTCACTGTTAAATCTCATTAAAACAGTAGATGAGTGCTTTAGATTCTCTGAATATCAAATAATATATACAGATATACACTGAGACATGACAGTCTAATATAAAGCATCTTTATCTACAGATGCATTTGCTTGAAGTTAGTCTTCTTTTTAACTCTGAATCACTGATAAAATTGTTAATTTGCAAAAGAGTATAGTTTTAAGCAAGAATAGAGTGAAAATAATTTTTAAATATGGCGATTTGGGGGAGTTCTACCGAAGGTTCTATCTAAAGCTTCCATTCAGATGCCCAAAAGCACAAAGAGCATTAGCATTCCCAACAGAAACCCGACCATAACCCGGTTCCATCTTCCTGCTACAATCTGTTTCCTCAAACATCATCTGCCACCTGAGGCTAAGCCTACACATGGCATGGCTAACAGGGCATGGGAATAGGGAGATCGCTTCCTCAAGACTGGTGTGCATCAATCTGTGCCATAATTTAAGTAGAAATGAACAGGTGTATAAAAAAGTATAACTGTACATAGCCTTTAAATTAAAAACCTCAAAATCTTCACTCAGAAAATAGGATGTAAGCTTGTTCATTTAAGTTGCAGGTGACGGAGTCGTCAGAGAGAGTAATCAGTGGAACAAGATCAGTGTAACCCACCATTGACTCGGAAAGGAGAGACAAAGTCAAGAACATAGAGATCCATGATAGGCCAATAGGCACAGTGGGCGGGGAGGGGCAGCTATTTCTGTTGTTCTGCGTCTTCCTGCGCTCAGATCCCGCCAGCTGCACTCGGAAAGGTGCCGAGTCCCAGGCGAAATGACCAGCTCATCTGCCTTCCAGGGACACCATGAAGCCAAGAGCAATGGAACCATCATCTCTTGCAGGAAAAGGAGTGGATGCCCACATGGCTGGCTGAAGCTCCTGGGCCCACCGCCTCCGTCCCCCGCTGGCCTGACCCCTGGTTCATCACTGGATCGCCTCCACATAATTTGCCGGGTATAGGCCAACTTGCCCGTTGTCCAATCGTCCCTTGCACCAGCCCTGCTCATCCTCGTCCTCCATCTTGGTCAGCTCGTCCCCTGTAAGACAAAGAGGGAGCCGTCTCCATGAGAGGGTGTGACACCGATGGTGGGCTAGAGAGCCGCATTCACGAGCTTCGGGCCCACAGAGGGAAGGCCGAGGGTCTGGTCATTTCTCTACTAAATGCATTTTAAGTTGCCTCTTTGGTCATGGGCCTCTGACAGATCTAGAGATGACAGTCTCACACAGTAATTTAGAGCAAGCAGCTCTCAGCTGCCACAGTGGCTCCCACTGGGACTGCAGCATCGAGCTCCATAGGGCTGTGCCTTCCTCACCACCCTGGCCAGGTGGCAGGAATTCTCCCTCGGTTGTGCCCCTCCCTCATGCTGGGCCTCTTCTGTCCTCCCCACTGGGGCCCCAGCAGCCTTTCTCCCAGCAGCTGTCTCTGGGGTCTCTCCGCCTTTGTTAATCCCTCTCCTCTGCAACTTCCAGGCTGCGAGAGGGGAAGGGACCACGTCTGACAGTCATACCTGTCATTCTATCCCCAGCATCTGGCTGAGGACTTGTGCACGGTGCCATGTGTCAACCCTTCCTGACACCCTGAGATAGGAGCCCCTGGCACTGTTCTGGAATCTCCCTGTGGCTCTAATGTATTAACGTGGTTCCATTTATCTTCTGCTTGTTCCAGCCTGAAGGACCTCCTACTTCTGGCCAGGCCTCAGGTAGAGGAGGAGATACAGAGATGAGAGGAACTGATGGAGCCTGGTCTCAGCCCAGGGGTGGGCAGGGCCCGTGTGCTTCTGGCTGGTAACTCACTGCAGGGAAGGCCAGTTGGGCCTGCTGGCTCGGACCTCGTCGGGAGCAAGCAATTGGTAGGAAAGAAATAGTCCCAGTGCTGTTTGGCCTTTATTGTTAAGTTTGTAGTTTTGTAACTCTCTTTGGCATTTTTTGGTCCATTTTTCAGAATTAGATGCAGTTTTCCCCCTGGTTTAGCATTTCCCTGATGCTTTGAATTTTGTATGGCAGCAATGCTGGTCAAGATGCCTGCGGAGCTAACGCCTGGGGCTTCCAGTGCCCCCCGGACTGCCTGGGCTCAAATCCCAGAGCCACCACTCACTGGCTGGGAGACCTGGACCAACTGCCTCCACTCCCTGGGCCTGTGGCCCTCATCTGTAGACTGGGGGTGCTGTGAGGATTAAGTGTTAAGACACCAAAGAACCCTGGGAGGGCGGGACACGCGTAAGCACTGGCTCAACCTCCCACTGTCATGCCACTTCTGCCAGAGCAGTGCTCCTGAAGATCTGACCCAGAGGCATTAGGAGCAGACGCAGGGGCCACAGGGCAGCAGTCGTGATGAACCACCATCTCTTCCCCCGCTTTGTGCCTTGGGCCCCTGGCGTTTCTTTTGTCCTGCCTTCATGGGCTGCTGTGCTCACAGGCCTGGCTCCAGGCTACCGAGGCTAGGATGAGACCTGTAGCCCCACACTACCATGTGGCAAACAGCCAGAGCACCGCAAGAGACAGACGTAAGTCAAGCCACACCGGTTGGGAGCTAATTTTGCATTGTTAAAAAGCAGGATAACACAGAAAATAGAACGAACAGGAAAGCTTTCACATTGTGCAAATGTGAACTGGTGATTAGAAGGTTCATTTCAATCAGTTTGCTTTTGACAATTTACTTGAATCTGGAAGAAACATTTTAAACCTACAAAATTACTGTCAAACCCAATAGGTAGGATTGAAAAGGAGTTAGAAATTATAAACAAATAAACCAACAAAGAAGGGGGTAACAACCCCAACCAAAGATATCAGAAACTGGATGAAGATGGCTTAAAGGCACATTAAAAAAAAATCCCAAAAAACAAAACCAAAAAAACCCAACTTCTCAAACTGGGCAGAGGCAGCTAGCTGATAACCAGCCCAGGGGATGTGTCTGGGGACAGCAGGGGGGCATTTTGAGTGCTGAGGGAAGGAGGCTGAAGGCTGGTTAGAAGCTAGGTCATTGGGCACAGCCCCCAGGCCCTGGCTTCCCTGCTGAGTGGCGGATTGGGGTGGTGGTGGTAAGGCAGCCTTTCCCACAAGTGTAGCCTAAGGGCAGGGGCACACTTCAGCCTATGTGGGTTGAGTTCTGGCCCAGTTTCCCTCTTGGAGTGGTAGATGCTGCTTCTAGGGGAGCTTCACAAAGAGGGCAAGAGAGAGGGAAGAATCTGGGTTGCTGTTGAGTCTGCTTTGGCCCTAGGCCACTCCAGCTTCCTTAGGTGCTACTAAGATAGCAATTTTCCTTTTTTTTTTTTGAGACAGAGTGTCATTCCATCACCCAGGCTGGAGTGCAGTGGCATCATCTTGGCTCACTGCAACCTCCACCGCCCAGGTTCAAGTGATTCTCTTGTCTCAGCCTCCCCCGTACCTGGGATTACAGGTGTGCGCTACCATGCCTGAATAACTTTTTGTTTTTTTTTTTTTTAAGTAGAGGCAGGGTTTGGCCATGTTGGCCAGCCTGGTCTCAAACTCCTGACCTCAAGTGATCCTTCGGCCTTGGCCTCTCAAAGTGCTGGGATTACAGGTGTGAGCCAACAAAGGTGTGGGCTAGGACTGCATGACTGTACCCCAGCTTGGCTAACAGAGTGAGACCATGTCTCTATTAAGAATAAAAAAAAAAAGATTATCATTGAAGACCATTCAAAGAAGAAAAAGACATTGGACAGCAAGTCTTCACAGGTAGAGCACACATAATCAGGATCCAGGCTGTTTCATAAAACTATGGTTCCTGCTCCTGGCAACACAGGTATGTGTGTGGGTTGGTATGTGCATGGTAGGTGGGGGCAGGTAGATGTGCACACACACAAGTTACTACCTGAGACAAGGCCCTACCTGGTCCAGAGGCATGCCAAGTGCTACTCCAGGGTCTGGGCAAAGCTGTGGCTTTCCTAAGGGCTTCTCTGACAGTTGGGGACCCCTGGAGAAAGGCTTCCCTCAGGGACCTACAGGGCTAGCAGCTCCCAGAGTACACATGGGGGAACCTGGTGGTCCTGGCCAACAGCTTCTCCAGATGCCCTTCTGCGTGACTAGCCAGTGCCCTGCAGTTCACAGCCTTGGCCCAGCAAGGGGAGGCGTCCAGGCACTGGCTTGGGGGCACCTCACTATTTCTGAGTCTTGGCATTGGGCATCTGCTACTATTTTTTTTCTTTTTTTTTTGAGACCGAGTCTCGCTCTGTCACCCAAGCTGGAGCGCAATGGCACAATCTCAGCTCACCATAAGCTCCACCTCCCAGGTTCAAGTGATTCTCCTGCCTCAGCCTCCCAAGTAGCTGGGACTACAGGCAGCCGCCACTATGCCCTGCTAATTTTTTGTACTTTTAGTAGACAGGGTTTCACCCTGTTAGCCAGGATAGTCTTGATCTCTTGACCTCATGATCCGCCCACCTCAGCCTCCCAAAGTGCTGGGATTACAGGCATGAGCCACTGTGCTCGGCCTACCTGTTTTTTTTTTGTTTTTTTCTAAGAGATGGGGTCTTGTTCTCTCTTCTAGGCTAGAGTACAGTGGTATGAACATGGCTCACTGCATCCTCTTGGGTTTCAGTGATCCTCCTGCCTTAGCCTCCCAAGCAGCTGGGACTATAGGTATGCATCACCACACCCAGCTAATCTGCTACTTTGGTTTGTTTATTTATTTGAGACAGGGTCTTGCTCTGTTGCCCAGGTTGGAGTATAGTGGTACAATCATGGTTCATTGCAACCTCAATCTACTGGGCTCAGGTGATTCTCCCACCTCAGCCTCCCAGATGGTTGGGACTACAGGCACGTGCCACTAAAATCAGCCCAGCTAATTTTTTCTTTTTTTTTGAGACAAAGTTTTGCTCTGTCACCCACGCTGGGGTGCAGTGGTGCGATCTCAGCTCACTGCAACCTCCGCCTTCCAGGTTCACGTGGTTCTCCTGCCTCAGCCTCCTGAGTAGCTGTGATTACAGGCGTCTGCCACACGCCTGGCTCATTTTTGTATTTTTAGTAGAGACAGGGTTTCACCATGTTGGTTAGGCTAGTCTTGAACTCCTGACCTCAAGTGATCTGCCTGCCTCGGCCTCCCAAAGTGCTGGGATTACAGGCACATGTCACCATGCCTGGTCTAATTTTTCGTATTTTTTGTAGAGACAGGTTTCGCCATGTTGCCCAGGCTGGTCTCAAACTCCTGGGCTCAAGCGATCCTTCCACCTCGGCCTCCCAAAGCTCTGGTACTACAGATATGAGCCACAGCATCCAACCAATTGGCTGCTTTTGACAATGAAGCCAGGGCACTGGGGAAGGGCCTGCAGTGACTCACATGAAACTAGCAAGAACTTTTCCAGACTTAAAAAACAGAAAAGAGCCCCCCACCTGCAGGTGGGAAGCCCTCCCCCCTTGGATGCCGGGGGAGCCCACCTACCAGCCTTGAAGCTCAGCTCATCGTGCTCCTGCCCCTCGTAGTCATACAGGGCCCGGACTCGCACTTCCGTCCCCGAGGTGGCGTCGTCGTCGAATGGATTCGAGTCCCCGTTGGCATCCGTGGAGGAGAAGGGGTTGTTAGACTCATCGTCTGACCAGTCGGTGGGATAGCTCTGGGTCTTCTCATAGCTGCTGACACTGCAAGAAAGGGGAGGCCACAGGGCTGTCAGCACAGGGCTGGCAGAGGGTGTGAGGCCCCCGCCCCTGCAAGGGGAGGGCACTGGAGCCTTGGGGCTCAGGGCTGAGGGCTCCTTCCGAAGGAGCACAGGTAGAGCCAGTGCTAGTGCGAGTTCATGCCATCCACACTCATCTTGAGCCACCAACAGGCTTTCCAGGGGCAGGCGGCTGGAGATGCCCACAGCAGAGGCCAACCTGGGGCCTCGCTCTCTAGTCCCCAGCACAGACTGCGTGCTTTTTTGTTTTCCTGTCATGGTGCTGCTGGGGCCTTGAAGGGTTAACAGGACAGAAAAAAAGCAACTGAAGATTGTTAGCTGTGCCCTCCCCGAGGAATGGGGGTGCCAGAGAGCCTGTGCACCAGCAGGTGGTGGGCCTGGGTGCAGCACGCCAGGTGCCCACTTCCTGCAGAGCTTCGTGCATTGCTGAGTGCTCAGGGGTGAGACCCCTGGACAGAGAGACAGAGGGAGAGAGACAGAGCGAGCGAGGTGGGACCAGAGGAAGCGTTTGTTCACCAACTTTTTGGCCTTAGTGTCCTCCTTCTCACTGACGGTGCTGCCCGTGTCGTCCTCATCCTCGAAGGGGTTGTAGCTGGACTGTGACTGCGCAGACTGGGCGGGGTTGCTCGGGACATTAAGGGTGCTATGGAGAGAGAGAGCTTTCAGGGGATCCCAGCTCTGCAGGGGCCCATGAGGGTCCTGGCAATTCCTAGCTGCAGGATCTCAAGGGACAGATCAGCTCCTCCTGTGACTGCAGGGGACCATGGTGTTTCAACAGAAAGGTTACTGTGGCAGAATGCGGGCAATAATACTTCAGCTGTGAAACATGCTCCAGGAGCCTAGGAGAGGACTTGGTTTCCCTTTTCCTTCCTTGCACCTGGAGACAGTCCGTCCAGAGCAGGGGCCTTGGGGTAGTGGGTGACAAGCCACAGTTGGAGCAAAAGTGGTTTCCATGTTCAGGGCTTCTCCCCTGTCCTGGCTCCTACCACCGTGAGCTGGGGGGAGGTCAAAGAGCCCCTTGGGGTCTCCTCTGAGAGTGAGAGTTTGGGAGGGGCCGGCTCTCATGGATGAGTGGGAGAGGCCTCTGAGCTCTTCAGACCACACGGCCTCCTCCTGACTAGTAAGGGGTTCAAGGCTCACTCTTCTGCTCTGTGGGGCTGGAGCTTCCAAAATCAGGGCCAGGGCCTGCTGCACAGTCTTTTCTAGGCATAAAGAAGGATTCCTTTGGTGCTCCAGAGGGAAAATCCAGTCATGCAACTGCCTACTGTGTGCCAGGCCCAGTGTGGGAGCCAGAGAGATCTGGGCCAAGCTCTGCCTGAGGGCTGGGAGCCGGGAGCTAAGTTACGCACTACGAAGACCACAGGGAGACCGTCAAGCAATCAGACAGGCACCAAGGGCCCTGGAGCCCCACCAAGTAACTGATCCTATGGACCAGGCTACCCTGGCCAGCAGCACCTTCTACTTCCAAGACCAGGGCCTCAGGGCACAGGCCCCCAAAGCACTGGACGGACGGCTCAGCCTGAGCACCCACCACTCCAGAACCAAGGAAGGGAGGCGAGGACATGCCTCCAATGCCACCAGAGTGATCCTGAGTGGCCAGTAACTGCCTCACCCGCTTCAGCCTGGCAAGGGGTACTGGACCTAGGCCTGCTGGAGGCCAATATCCAGGCCACATGTCTGAGCTCACCGGCCCTCCTCCCTCCTTGGCACCTTTCTCTAGCAGACTGTTGTGAGAGGGCACTGGTGGGGGCGGCTGAATTGTGCAGCAGCCCTGGCCAGCCCAGGGTCCCCAGCGTCTCCTCTGAGGCAGTGTTTCTTCTTTCCCATTCCCACCCCCAAGCATTACAGGTGCTGGCCTGATCCCTGGGACAGGCACTTACCGCCGAGCCCACCTGCCCAGACAGCGTGCACAGCAGCAGAATGATGACAGCCACACCTGCTGGGAAGCCTAGCTGGGGGCTTCAGTACCTGGGGCTGCAGGAAGGCCATGGGAACCTGCGCTGAGCCTTCTTAGGAAGCCCCAGTATGAAATGACTATTACTGACTGTGACATGGAGGCCTCTGGGCAGGTCCTGTAGGAAGACCTCCTCTAGCACACACTTTCCAGAAGGTTCTAATGACCACAGTGCCACCCTTATATCTCTCGTTTTCAGCCAGTGACTAAGTCAGAAATAACTAATGCTCCTAGCGAAGAGGTAATTTGGAAGGGAGATGTCTGGCAGTCCTCTCCTGTCCCTCCCTTGACTGGCGCCTGCACATAATACAGAGTGAGCACGAAACTCAGCAGGACCTCGGCTGCCCAAGGGAACCAGGGTGGCACCTCCACCAGTGTCCAGGCAGGGCGGTGCTATCCCTGGAGACATGAATGCCAGCCCTGTCATCAGCTCCTACCCAATCGGGTCTGAAGCTCAGGGCCAAGGCTCCCTCTCTGGATCTGTCAGCAGCTCTGGCACCAGGCAGGAAGATGACCCTCCCCGGAGATGCCCCGGGCCACGCCCCACAGAGCTCGGGAGCCCAGGAACCTCCCAGGTGTCCAGGCTGGGGCTCTCCTGGACCATGCAGATTGCCCGGGGGCCCCCCTCCATGGAACGGCCTCTTTTGGATGGAGGTGGCACCCACTCACCTGCTGGGCTTATTCGGCAGAGACTGGTCGCCTGTCTGGTTGATGCCCGTCAGAGTGACGCCGTCAGTGGCCTTCTTCTTCTCTCTCCGGCTGAGGGTTCGATTCAGGTCTGCGGACCACTCCTGGGTAACAGGTGCCAAGGGAGAGAAACCGAAGGTTCACTTGCGGGAAGCCACGTCTGTCCTCCATTCCTACCCAGCGAGCCTGCGGTCCGCTCCGTGCATCTGATGTGTAGACTCAGGGCCCCTGCTCTCCCTGGCTTCCCAGACCTCAGGCTCCCCACGCCCCACTTAAGAATCCAAACGACCTGAGCCCCTCCTCACTGTTCAAAGCAGGGGCACTTCTACCACCACCCCCAGGCCATGCTGCCCCCTCCTAGAGGACCAGCGGGGGTGGCGAGGACCAGGGCAAGGTCCTGGGCCTCCTGATCCTGACCCTGCCCACCAAGGTTCTCAGCCTCATCCCCCTCAGGCCAGCATGGGCCCCTGTGGCCTCCCCAGATGTCATGCTGAGCCTCCTAAAGTAGACATGAGCCAGCCTCTGAGGCACTTGTCCTGAAGTGCTGAAGATCCTTTGCGTCGATGCCCTAAATTGTCCCTGGGCCACAGGGTCAAGACAGCTGGCTTCGGAGACCTGAGCAAGCCTGCCATGTGGAAAAATGGGCCCTGGACTGCAAATAAAACCAAGGCTAGGTGGCTACCACCTGACAGAAGGGGCAGGCAAGCAGACTCACAGTCTCCAAGGAGCAGGGCTCTCCCCTGTGTTTTGCTGCCCTGGGATTTTCCTCTGGGACCTGAGCTCATGCTGGGGCTAACGAAGCACAGCACGCTCCTCCCGGAAGCCTCATGAGTTCTCGGGCAGCGAACGGGCTTCACCAGCTGCATGGAAAATGGACTAGGGCAAAACCATGAATGGAGACTGTGTCTTGATTTTCTAGAAGAGTCTGTGCATGCCTACAGGTGTTTAATGAGCTCTCCTTCACCAACATCTCCACCGGTTACCAGACAACTTTGATTAAAACTTGGTGTGGCTGAGTTCACAGCTCTGCTCACACGTACTTACAGAATTTTTATTTTTTATTTTATTTTATTTTTTGAGATGGAGTCTCGCTCTGTCACCCAGGCTGGAGTGCAGTGGCCGGATCTCAGCTCACTGCAAGCTCCGCCTCCCGGGTTTACGCCATTCTCCTGCCTCAGCCTCCCGAGTAGCTGGGACTACAGGCGCCGCCACCTTACCCGGCTAGTTTTTTGTATTTTTTAGTAGAGACGGGGTTTCACCTTGTTAGCCAGGATGGTCTCGATCTCCTGACCTCGTGATCCGCCTGTCTCGGCCTCCCAAAGTGCTGGGATTACAGGCTTGAGCCACCGCGCCCGGCCAGAACTTTTAGGTTGGAAGCCAACTCAGAAGCATCCTGCCTAACCTGTCCATTTGTCAGATGAGGAAACTAAGGCCCAGAAAGGCACCGTGACTTGCCCACGCAGAGGGGGTGGCAGACCTGGGCCCCTGATCCTAAATCTGGGTCACCTTTTTGTCTATTAATTATTTTCTGACTGGAATAGGTTGACTGAGAACTCAATCAGAACCTCAGAGTTCTCCACAGTGACCTCTGAATATAAATTCATCCTGATCAGGCAGCTTCCAAAGGCCAATGGGATCAATACCAAGCTGGTGCTGAAGGGAAGGGCCGGCTTTCAATACCCCTGACAGCAGGGCAGCCTCAGCTGAACTGCTAGGAGCCTGGCAGGGGCAGCACACACACCCATGCGGGCCACAGACACCCTGCACGGCGTATGGCACTCTATGAGTTAGCCGAACGCAGACACTTACTTCATCCTTGTGGCATGAAAAATAAAACAAAGAACTGCATTAGAGAAAGTCAGGCATGGTCCTGTAACAGCTGCAAATGTGCGGACAAGGAACGCACAGGGGCTGGTTCCCAGCCCGTGGACCCACAGAGAGAAGGGCCCCCTGGGCTCTGGCTGGGACACCCTCCAGGAGACAGATTGTCAAATAGTCCTCCCCACTGTGCCCCTCTCTGGGTATAATGGGCACCTCTAAGGTACCCAAGTGAGTTTCACAGGTGGTTTCCTGTGCCACTCCGGGAGCAGCAAATCCTCGCTGTGTGTGAAACCCCAGCTGTGCACAAAACACATCAGCCGAGGCCTCCTGGTGTGTGGCTCCAGAGGAGAGGCTGCGCTTTGTGCCGTCCCCTCTAGGGCCACTTCCACTGGGGAAGGCTCTGGCCCTCCATGCTCTCCCAGTGCCTCTGTGGAAGGGGCACAGCTGCTCTGCAGCTTCCTACTGGGAGCAAGTCCTGGGCTGGCACAGGGGAGTGCTCGGCGGCAGGGCCCATGCTGTCATTTAGAGAAACCTTCCTGTTAAGGGCCACAAAAGAAATGCAGGAGTAAGGACTGACAAAACTGCAGGCTACGAGGCCCCAGGAGGCTTCTGAGGGGTGGGCCTGGGTCAACAGCCCTGCATGGACAAATTCACCATGTTCCCCAACAGCCCCCAACAGGAGATGGGTGCTCTTGTCATTCCCATTCCACACGTGGGAAAACCGAGTCACAAAAAGGGTGAATAGTTTGCTCAGCTTCCCACAGTTGGTCAGAGGTGAGCAGAATCTGAATGCAGCCCGGGCTCTGGCCGCTGCTGAGTCAGGGAAGCCACGAGGTCCACGTCCACGGCAGAGGTAGTCACCCTCAGCATCCCCGCTGGGGCAGCTGACGCCACGTGCTTCAGCCTTAGGGGCAGCAGGACCTTCACCCACTGCCTTCAGGGTGCCAGGTGGGGCCTGGTGACCAATCCTAGGCCTGGGTGAGTCCTGAGATCCCCAAGTCCTTGCATCTCGAATGTAAAGATAATGAAAGGCTCAGACCCACATGATGGGAAAAGAACGTTCATTTTGAATCAGGATTCATTGAATTTACTGCCTGGAGTAGGGAAAAGTCCTTTGTTGGAAGGGTAAGGAGGGCTGCCCACTGAGACCACCTCCCCTCCCCTGGCCCACTGTGAGGGGGGCACTGTGGCTGCTCCCTTCCCGGCCATTCCACAGGGTGAATCAGGGACCTGAGGTCCTGTGGGCCTGCAGCTCCTGGGACTGACTAGGAAGGAAGGGAATGCCAGTGGCCAGAGAGTGACAGTCAAACATTGCCAACTAGAGAGGACATAACTGCAACTTCCCAAGAGGTTCAGAAGGCCTTTGGTAATGCCTGCAGCCCCCCAGGCCTCCATGCTAGAACTTGGTCTGTACTATAGCTGTGCCTAAAGACTGCCTGATAAACAGGGCAAACACCAACATAGAGTCTGGAATGAGAACGAGGACATCGTCTACCAACTCTGTGGGCCCAGGTCCTCTTCCAGGCCAACGAGGTCATGGGCACACCCTCCTCTTACCTCAAACTGTGGCCAGTTCATGGCCATGCCTGGCCCGTGATTGGCTCGGAACCACCTCAGGTCCTCCACCGCATCAGCCGCTCTGATGCTCTGCTCCAGGTCATGGTAAACGGCTTTGTAGCTAAATCAGAGGGAAACATGGCTCTTTTAGAAGGCAGGGGCCAGCTACCATTTGTCCCAGCCCAGTGCCAGCCAGAGCAGGTCCCGTGGTCTCTGCCCCGTGAGGTGGTTTCACAGACAGAGCCAGAACCCTCCTCCCTTGGCTCGGGCGGAATATCACGGGCCGCCACGTGCACAGATGGCTTCTGATAAATGAGCTTTAAATCAAACCAGCAAAGCAGGTGGCAATGAATGAGCCCTGCTCTGTGTCACATATGCAAAAGGCACCAGCAGGTGGGCTGCGTGGGCCACCACTCTGTGTGCTCCCATTTAACCAGACCCAGAGTTGAGGAAGAGAAAACTGGAGGGTGTTAGAAAGTAACCCTCCTTCCTCATCTGTCAGAAAGGCTTTATACCCAGACGTGCAAATGCAGAGTGTGAAAATGACCCAGTGCTGAACACACCCACCAAGATGGGGTGGGGGCCGCCTTCCGCCTGGCAGCCATCACTGGCTCACCTTCCTAGGAAGCTGCCCTGTGGGGGAAGAGTATGGATCACCGCTGGACCTGATATTTTCACTTATAATCGTTATGGCTGGTGAGTCATGTGCTTTCTCTGGGCTTCGGTTTCCTCCTCTGTTGAGTGGGCACAACCATCAAGGGTTGAGTTGTGTCCTTCACAGGAGACATGCTGGAGTCCAAACCCCAGTGCCTCGGAATGTGGCCTTATTTGGAAATAAGGTCTTTATAGAGGTAATCAAGGTAAAATGAGGTCACTAGCAGGAGCCCTAATCCATATGACTGGTGCCTGTATTAAAAGGGGGAAATCCAGACACAGAGACAGACAAGCCTCCGCATGATGGAAGTCACTCCACATGCAGAAGAGGCCCACACAGGCCAGCCCCATCCTGCTTCTGCCAGCAGAGCGGCCTCAGGCAAGTCATTTAATCTCACCCAGCCTCAGCTTCCTCATCGATAAGATGGGGTCAGTGCCACCCACTTTACAAAACTGTCATAAAAATGGAATGGTGGCAGAGCAACAGTGGTGCAATAACTTGCCTTTGATGATTTTTATACAGAGGGAGACAAAAGGAATGTGTTTTTGTGATGCGTCCCTACATGGTTCTGCTAGATGGATGACAGTAGTCCATGCCCTTGAGTTAGCCGGGACCTCTGCCCTGGTGAAGGCATCACAGAAGCAAAGATGAGGAAAGCACAGAACAAACAGCACAGCTTCCATGTCACAATTCAGAACCATGTCTCAGAGGGTATGTGCTGTCCTGGGGGCTGAGAGCCACTAAGCAGTCAGCTGATCACAAAGGGCCTCAAAGAAAGACTGTCCCAGGCACAACCAGCCCAGAAATGCCAGATTCACCCCCAGTGGATCTTAGATATGCCAGCTGTGGCTGGACACGGTGGCTCACGCCTGTAATCCCAGCTACTCGGGAGGCTGAGGCAGGAGAATCGCTTGAACCCGGAAGGCAGAGGAGGCTGCAGTGAACGGAGATCACGCCACTGCACACAAGCCTGGCGACAGAGCAAGACTCTGTCAGAAAAGAGAGGAGAGGAGAGAGGGAGAGGAGAGAGGGAGAGGGACAGGGAGAAGGAGAGGGAGAAGGAGAGGGAGAAGGAGAGGGAGAGGGAGAGGGAGAGGAGAGGAAAGAAAAGGAAAAGCAAAGCAAAGCAAAGCAAAGTCAGCTGCGTTGGTCCGAGCTGTGGCCCCAGAAAGGGCAATCTCCCTTCCTGCCCAGACCCGTACGTGGAGCTGGCAGAGTGGGCCTGGCCTTATCTGCTTGGGCCAGCAATTGGCTGGGTCAGCCAGGCCTTCCACAGGTCCAGCCAGCCATGCCTGCAGCTGCAGAAACGCTCAGCAGAAGGGCCCTCCCTGCCATGCAGATTACAGAGAAGCAGGAGGCCCTGAGGGTGGTGAGGAGACCTCCTGACAAACGCGCCATCCCAAACCTGGGAGCAGCATCTGCGTTTGCTTCAAAAGCACTTTCCGTTGACTTCAACGACATGTGTGTTTTAGCTCAAAGGAAACTTACCCAGTCACATTGGACAGGTCTAGGTGCTTCTGAACCTCCAGCAGAACCTCCCGGAAGAAGCGCAGGCGTTTCTCCTCGAACTGCTGGCACTGCTCAAACACCTGCTCCATGTTCTCCATGTACTGGGGCGTGCCCTGGTCGAGCTCCTTCAGGGACTTCTCATACTTATCTTTGGTCTAAAGAAAAATCCAGGCACAAGACAAAGGTTCATTTCCATTCGGCCCTTGGCTCACCCCACCCCTGGAGTGTCTCAGGCCTCCCCAGATTCCAATGCAAAGAAAAAACAGGAGCTCTGGCTTCTGACAGACTTCAAGTTCAAGTCCCAGTCCCTCCACTCCTGCAAGGTAAATCACACTCCTGCCATCTGCCCGGTCTCTCAGCTGCAGCAAGGCCCAGAGAGGCAGATGCCGGCAAAGGGCAGTCTCCCCAGAGCCTGGTGTGTGTGGTCTTGAGTGTGCCAAACGCCCATGTCCTCTTTTCCCTGTGGGGAAGGGCTGTGCCTGGCTACCTCAAGTCTCCCACAGAAAAGGTGGGGCTGGGGCTGAATCCTGCAGCTCTCTTGGAGCCTCACTGTCCTTTATTAGATGAGGACACTCTCTCCTTCACAGTGTTCTGATATGTAAATGATGGGCTGCAGGAAGAAGGCATTCAAAAAAAGTCCTCCTTCCTCTGTCCTTCAGCCCACTCCATCCCCCTCACATAGCTGCTCCCTCCCAGATTGTCCCAAGAAGGGGTTTTGCAAGGCAGGAAATGTTAAAAGCAGGTGTGGCCTATCTCAAGAGTATCAAGGGGCAGCTAGAAAATGTGTGAAATTCTGAAGATGTGGCTAAAGTGGGCACATTCATCTGGTGGGGATGTGCCTCGAGGTCAATGGCCTCCCCTCACCCCTCATCTTGGGGGCAGGGCCACCAGTTTGGTGACCAGGTGGTTTTGTTAGTTGGTGGGATCATGGTCGTGTTGGCCCCCTGGGGTGGGTGAGCGATAGCAGGGCTGGGGCCACCTATTTATTGCAATTCTTTCTACAATGGGGGTAGTCACGGGCTCCACTCGAGTCTAAGCTTTGCTGTCCCTAACAACATATGCAGGGCCTTCTGAGGAAGGAAGGAAGGATGAGGAAGGATGGAGTGCTTCCTGAGCCACTGCAAGCCTATGGGGCACCCGCTCTGCCCCCAGCTGGGACTGAGTCTACCCTGCCCATGAGGCTCCCCTCCTCCCCTCCCAGATGCTCGCCTCTGACTCATGTGGCTCAGGGCCCTGGGAGACTCCGCTTCAGGCTCCAAAGCAACTCCTCTCCTTGAAGCCTTCCGCAGTCTCCTGAGACCAGGTCCCACCCCGCCCTCTAGGGCCCTGACTCCTGCCCCTTTCTCCTCTCCTGGTATCCGGGTCCTTGCTCTGCTTCTCAGCCTCCTCAGATGGCTGGGTTTGGGTCCTCTGTGCCTACAGGAAAAGGCCACCCCTGCCAGGGCTGGGGCATGCCCAGCAGAAAGAGAGCTCCACAGCGCTGTGGTGATTCCTATTCCCCATCGCCATTGACACTGCCCGTGCCCACTACCTGGCAGCCCTGCATGGGAGCCTAGCTCAAAAGCCCAAGACACACAGCTGTGGGTTCAGCGCCCGGCATCTGGAGGATACTGCTTAAGTGACACAGCAGTCCCATCTCAGGAGCCTTCAAGACACAGTAGCCTCCCAGAAGCTCTCAGGGTACTAGTGGCAACAAGATGCTCCACCTCTGGACTGCCCCTGCCCTCAGCCTGGGCCGACCCTGCTGGCCCCAAGTCCTGCCCCCAGCACAGGCCAGGTACTGAGCAGGGTCATCACTGTTCTGGAAACCCCCTTGCAGGGCACAGAAAGTTCTAAACGAATACCCATGGAGTAAAACAAAAGGCGGCCTTCACCCTTAGGTGGACTGCAATATTTTCGCACTAAATGCAAAAAGTTCTTTTCTGATGGATGCTCCAAGACGTAGTTGATGGCTGATAAGAAACATGAAAGTACATGTGCATCCAGTCAGCAGTGGTATGTATGTATGTATGTATGTATGTATGTATGTATGTATGTATGTACCTACCTACCTACTTACCTACCTACCTACCTACTTTAGAGATGGGGTCTCACTCTGTCACCCAGGCTGGGGTGCAGTGGTGTGACCACAGCTCGCAGCAGCCTTGAACTCCTGGGCTCAAGCAATCCTCCCGCCTCAGCCTCTGAAGTAGCTGGGACTACAGGCACATGCCTCCACACCCAACTAAATTTTTAAATTTTTTGTAGAGATGAGGTCTCACTACGTTGCCCAGGCTGTGTGCTGGATTTTGGAAACTGCGTCAAGAAGGGTGCTGGGGAGGGACTGGCCTCCTCTCCAGAGCTCTAGGCCCACAAGGACCTCTCACATCCTGCAGTTACTGGCCAGACCACAGAGGCAGGGAGGGCCCCAGGAGGGAACCCACTGCAAAGTGTCCCATTCATCCTGCCAGATGCTTATGTCCAACCTCGCGCCCTGGGCCTGTTCTGCAAAGCCTGAGTTGATGTTCTGGGTGGCTGTCAAACATGAAAGGCCTCCCTTCCTCTCCATCTCCGTCTCCCTTTCTCTCACACAGGCACGGCCCCGCCCAACATGGAGAAGCCCCATCTTTCTTCTAGGCACCTTTTTGGGCACCTGATTCCCTGGGATTCTAGCAAAGGCCAGAGAGTTCTCCGGGACCTTGTGCTTCTCGAGCCCACGTACCCCGCACTCAGTAGTTGGTTCCAGGCTCTTCACCTGATCCCACCATGGAGGCACCTGGGCTGCTTCAAAAGCCCAGATTCCTGGCTCCAGCAATGGGAGTGAGAGGGGTTTCCCAGAGGATTCTGACGCTCGGTCTGAGTGATGAACGTGTAGATGACGGGTTCCCCTTGCTACGCCGACAGCATAGCAGTGAGGAACAGTGGAGAAAGGGCATAGGCATATGTATGGGCTTGAGGTCAGAAGTTCCTGCTCTCACCTGCTGGATGGCATGACTTAACCTCTCTGATCTTGGTTTTCTCATTCACAAAAAAGGGATGCCACCACCTAACTGACAGGGGCTGGGAAAGGTTAGTGGGTAGTGAAACCAGCTTAGGCCTCCTGCCTCCCTTTTGCCCATGTCCTCTTCCTGGAGTGCAGCCTCTCTCTACCTCATTCTGTCTGTCTCTGCAAATCCTGGTGGGGAATTTCATCTCCAAACACTGAGGCAGGGCAGGCCCTTGGCAACCGCACCCCCCCAGCCCTCACCTGTCATGGCTGAGCAAAGGAGGGGAGGTGGGGCCGAGGGCTGAGCCCTCCCTTCCTGTGAACTATTAAATCACAAGACGATGACGCTGTCTGGTTTTAAGTCCTGTGACTCCAGGACCTTCTAGGCAGAATTACTGTCGACATCTGCGGAGCACTTCATAGTTGACACAGTGATTTCTCACTCACCCACCGGGGCAGAAAATCTCCCCTTCACAACAGAAATGGAAGGGCACCCAGGATGCCACAGTGCCTGGTCACGGTCTCTCGTGGGCCAAAGACCACCCTTCTGCCACCCCTGGCTCCATAACCTCTGTCTCACTCTTGCGGCCTGTCACTGTGGAGACTGCGGGGCACCTCCATCCCCCCTCCCACCTGGCTCCCCAGACAAGTGCTCCCAGCCTACAGTCCCTCCCCCAGGTCTCTGCCTCCAGCCCCTCTCCCTACATAAGCAGAGCAATCCTTCTAAACCATCTCACCCTCCTCACCTCCTCCCTGACCCCACCCAGGCTCAGGCCTTCCTCAGTGGCTCCTGGTCAGCAGCATCCTAAGCTCCTTACTCAGCCTGGCTGTCCAGGCCACTGGCGATTTGGTCCTCGTAACCCTCCATGCCAGCTCACACCACACCCATTCGCACCCACCATTGGCCACAACCATTCACACCTGCCACCAGCCACAACCATTCACACTCATCACTGGCCATGCCCATTCACACTGACCACTGGCCATGCCCATGTTGGCACAAGCAGTTCCCTGCAGCAATCCCAGCTGTCCTTGTGTCTCTGAGCACAAAGAGCTGTCTCTTTCCCCCAGCTTGCCCAGAGCTTGGCTCTGCCCCTCAACTGAGCAGGTACAGTGGCTAAGGTGAGGTGAGGTGCTAGGGCACTCACCTGTGGCCTTCTTGAGGACAGGGGTGTGTTTCATTGGTTCTTTATCCCTCTATCCACCCAATCACCCAAGCAGTTACAGAAGGCTTACTATGTGCCAGACATGTGATCAACTGACACGGTGACACTCGACGTGTAAAAACAAGTGTACAATTTACCTTAAGAACATCTTGCTTGCACTTTTCTATTTTGTCTTGCAATTTCTTGAGCTGTTCAGGGTTGAGGGATGGGTCTGCCTTGCTGTTGGCTTCTCGTGAGATAGCCAGCTTCTCCTCTTTGCACGCTGCATGGTGGGCTTTCTTTGCTGCTTCTACCTACAGGGATAATGAGTTCCTGAATGCCATGTCGCTGGGAGTTCCGGATCTCACTAGAGGTTACACAGACCATGGGAATGCTTGTGCTACCAAGAGGGGAGGAAAAGGCAGGTACAAAATTGTATGTATACTATCATAGCAACTAGTCACAACAGGAATGCACTCAACACATATTCACGGAGCACTTGCTTGCCCCGTGAATGGTTCGAGGCACCAGGGACACAGCAAGAAACACAAGAGCCGAGGCCTTCGTGAAGCTTTCATTTGAGTTGTGGGAGGCAGATACAGTACAGGAAAAGTTACATGCCAGAGTCAATTGGAGGGCGTTAAGCGTTGGGGAGGACAACAGAGACGGAGCATGGGGTGGGTGGAGAAAGCCACTGAGATGACATGGAACATGCACATGGAGGGGTTATGGACATCCCAGGAAGACCACGCCAGGCTGCTGGATCAGCGAATACAAAGAAAGTTCCAAGGAGGAACCTAGCATGAGCGAGAGGACTATACTGGGTGGTTGGGGGGAGGGGGCGCAGGGTGATCGGCCACATTTCCTCTGGTTTTAATGGCTATTTTACACACACACACACACACACTCTCTCTCTCTCTCTCTCTCTCCTCTCTCTCTCTCAATAGATCCTTCCTTATTTGAGCCAAAGCCACAGATTTCATTCTAGAGGGAAGGAGGAGTTTACAGCAAAGGCCTCATGAGACACAGACAGTTTCATTATGAATGGGGCCAGGGACAAAACAGAAGAGAAAAGAGATGCGACAAAAGCTAAAACACAGAAAAGGAGACACAGAGAAAACCATCCGGAAAGACAGAGGCATGTTCTGGATGATTCTGAGGAGGAGGAAGGCAGTGCAGGGCCAGAGAACAGCTGGGTGTTGGGGGTGGCACATCTACCGTCTAGCCCATTCCAGCAGGGAATGGGGGCGAGGCTGCAGGCAGGGGCGGGGCACACAAGCGGAGGGCTGGGGTGGACAGATGACAGCCTCCAATTAGCCAAGGCTCGACAAAACTCTGGCTTTGGTTGCTACTTTTAGAAAAACAGGTATCAATGTTACTTGAAATTTTAGGAGAAAAACCTAAAATGGCCTCCTGTGCCTACAGCCAGTAGCAGAAAGTCCTGGGTGCAGGAGGGGGTGCTGCTGGTGAGGTGCCAGGCAGAGCGAGGCCGGGCAAGGAAGCCTGCAGGACAGATGTACCTCTTTCAGCTTCTTGGCCCAGGGCTTCTGTGCCTTCCGAAAGCCGTCCTCGGCTTCCTTGGTCTCCTTGAAGCCGCCCATCATCTGCTTGTGAAAGGCTTCCTTCTGCCAGTTCTTGATCTTCTCGAAGTCATCGTTCATTAGCGAGGCCTTCACCTCGAGGTGCAGCTCACTCACCCTCTCTGCCTCGGACATGAAGGCCATCCAGGCCTTCTCCACAGTCCCGTACTGGGGCCCTGCACCGGGGAGAAAAGCTGTGGGTCACTCAGCGTGGGGCATGGTGGGGTCTCCTCTGCTCACACCTTGGCTGTTCCATGTGGGCATTTAGACCACAGAGGGTTTCCTTTCGGGGTTTCAGATATTTTTCTCTCAGGGACTCTGTGCCTTTTTCAGTTCCTGAAGTTGAATTTGCTTTGCCACTCGTGTTAGGAAAATTGGGGTATTACATCCCTTTCCTTTATTTTTATTTTTATTTTTTGAGATGGAGTTTCGCTCTTGTTGCCCCGGCTGGAGTGCAGTGGCGCGATCTTGGCTCACTGCAAACTCTGTCTCCCGGGTTCAAGTGATTCTCCTGCCTCAGCCTCCCAAGTAGCTGGGATTACAGGTGCCCGCCACCACGCCCGGCTAAATTTTTGTATTTTTAGTAGAGACGGGGTTTCACCATGTTGGCCAGGCTGATCTCAAACTCCTGACCTCAGGTGATCCACTCGCCTCAGCCTCCCAAAGTGCAAGGATTACAGGCGTGAGCCACTGCGTCTGGCCATGCCTTTCCTTTATTTAAAGCCACTGAACTCTTTAAAAACTCCAATTTCCACATCTTAGAAGTCTTAATTTACTTAACAGTGGCCAAAGAAGGGGGGACCTTCTGAAGTGAGCAGACGCTTCTCCCAGGTTTTGGGCACCCATCCACATCATGCCAACGCTTCTCCTGGCGTGGCTCCTATCTGCCCTGCTTGGCCCTTGGCTAGACCTGTGCTGCCTCCCTTTGCAGGACCGCGTTCATTCACTCCCAGAAAGAGCCTGGCTCTGAGCACAAGCTCGAGAACACTGGAATGAAGACTGTCCCCTCAGCAGAATGGAAGCCCATGCTGCAGGAGGCAGGAGAGGAGGAAGCAGGAGCCTGCTCTGGACCAGAGCTTTGTAAACCTCAAGCTCTAACTGACAGCTGGATCCCGGGAGAGGGGCTGGAGCAGGTGGAAATGAAATGATGACAGTGCCACCGACCGAGGGAGCAGACCTACCCCAGGCCCCTCCTCCACCACGTGCCTGCTCCACAGCCTGGGCACACACCCTGCCCTAAGGACTAGGCTAAGCCCACACACACAACCCGTGTCAGCATGACGGGAAAGGACAGGCAGCTGGACTAGACCTGGTTCGCCTGGGGCCTGGCTCCCCAGTTGGCTCCTGAGGACAGCTGGTCAGCACAGGAGAGCCTGCCCCAAAACACACCTTGAGAAACCCGTGCTGCTCTGCTTCTGTGCCGGAAAGCCTGTAATCAGTCAAGCTCCCCCTTCACTGCTGGGAAGTGTGTTCTAAACATGGCCTCTGTCCACACAACAGTGGCAGTGATGAAGCTGCAGAAGCTTCTGAGCTTTTCGGTGGGGACAGAAGGGAGTGAAACCTCCACCATATAGCACCTATAATTATTCCCTTAAAATTTAAACTCAGAAAGACTGCCAGGTGTTGCCAGCTAGTCTTATCTGACCTGCTACATGGCCAAGTTTAAAAATAAATGGCTCTCTGTGTTAGAAACCAAGGTGCCGAGCAGCAAGGCCTCCCACAGGATAGGAACTTACCCGAGCTCTCAGTTAACTCGGCAAGGGCAAGTGTATCCTATGGATGACAAGGGCTGTAATCCTGTGTCCCCGAGGAAAGCGGACAAAAGTTCACGGAGCCTGTGCCTGCTGGTGATGGACACTAATGCTCCCCATAAAAATCACACCCTGCTCTGGAACTGGGAAATGCACTCTTGCCCCAATCTTAAAGGACAGAAAACTGGCATAGAGAGGGTCACAACGTGCCCAGAGCCCGTAGCTGGGGCATAGCTGCCTCCAGGCCACAGGACCTGTGCTGGGGCCTCCCTACCCTTCTCCACAAGCTGCCTCCAGCGCCGGGCCCACTCAGTGAGCTGCTGCGCGTACGCCTTCTCGATGCGTGCCCGCTCATGCAGGCAGTTCATGAGGTCGCTACACAGGCGGTGGCCATCGTCGATCCGCTTCACAGTCCGCTTGTAGTTCCCGACCTAGGAGACACAACTAGCTGGGAGGCAGGGGGCTTGGGGCAGCCTGTCCTTGGCTGCTGCACAAATGGCCTCCATGCCAATCAGGCCCTGATGCGCCCCTGGGGTCACGTTTACCACACCCCACTCCCACAGTTTGAAAGGCAACCCGTGTAGTTAATCAACCTCTCTATTTTTATTATTAATGAGATCATACACATCAGGGAACGGGGGCTTCTCAATGTTCTTTAGGTTGGGTACCAAGCAGAAACTGGGCCATGGGTCAGGAAGGGAGGTTGACTGGCTCAGGAAGGGCTATCATGGAAGAAGGGGCAGGGCTGAGGATGCCTATAAGAGCACCTCATGCAGACTGAGAAGCTGGGGCCGGCTTCCTGGAGTAGGTGACATCTAACCAAAGCCTTCTGCTTTGATGTCATCCATCCTGTGCTGGGTTATTACTTCCCAATCATAGCTGTAAAAACTTTTCCACTTCCTGAGCACCTATCATGTGCCAGGCAACCTGCTAGGTGTTTTACACCTCCAAATATTGTCTCCCCAACCTAGTAGGAATAAGTGTCCCCATTTTACAGATGAGGAAACAAAGGCTTAGAGAAGTTACATGGTTAGTCAAGATCCTGCAGCCACAGTGGCTAGGCTCGAGTTGAAGGCATTTTTTGAGACAGTCTCACTGTCATCAGGCTGGAGTGCAGTGGCGCGATCTCGGCTCACTGCAACCTCCGCCTCCCAGGTTCAAGCGATTCTTCTGTCTCAGTCTCCTGCCTCCTGAGTAGCTGGGACTACAGGCATGCATGCCATCACACCCAGCTAATTTTTGTATTTTTAATGGAGACAGGGTTTCACCATGTTGGCCAGGATGGTCTCAATCTCCTGACCTTGTGATCCGCCTGCGTCAGCTTCCCAAAACGCTGGAATTACAGGTGTGAGCCACCACGCCCGGCCCAAAGGCAGTTTTTCAAAGCGTTCCAGGTAGGACTGTCTTGATGGCAAAGGTTTTGCAGGGCTAAGCTGAGTTTTGACTGCCTTTTTTCGCATATGAAAAGAGAAACTAGTTCATTTAAGTTATAAGTATTAAAAGAGTAACTGAGGAAATGTTAATGGCTAATTTGGGGTGAAAATGAAAATGTTTGCTATGTTTCATTCTTTGAGCTGCCGGCTTGAAAGGATACAGTCACTGATAACTTGAGCACCCAAAGGAAATATGACAGAAAGATGATCTCTTTTCAGCTTTTTTCTCCCATTGCCTTCAAAAATCTTAGTCAACCCCTTGTCAGTTTTACCTTTTCTAAAATCTCTTTGCCTGGCCCTGCAGAGATGGGTAAGGGGAGGGAAAGGGGCTGCAGCATCTGGAGGAAGGGCTGTCCCTGAGGCTGAGCTAGATGGGCTGAGAACCAGAATCCTTGTGAACAGCAAAGACCCCTGGAAGGTGGTTAGCCTGGGCATCCTTCTCCAGAGGCAGATGAGACTTCCAGCTCTGCTCATTCCCTCCAAAGACCTCCCTCGGCAAGGCTGGCAGCTCGTCTGCTCGTCAAAACACGAGCTGAACCTGAGCGTCCACTCCATACTCGAGCAGCTCCTATGAGGAAGTCGAAAGCGAGCATTTTCACAGCTCACTGGAAGTGACATTATGTGGTAGCTTCCCTTAAAATGAGGCCTTACCGTCATTTTGAAATTGACAGCAGGACGAAAAAAAATACCCAACAAGCGACTTAGTATCACCGAGCTGGTGGTAGAAGGAGCTGAGGTAACACAGCCCTAACTTAGCCTTGATAGTTGACATGAAGCCACGACCCAGAACTGGTTTTCATCTGTCTATTACCAACAGTATTCAAATTGGTAATCACCATCAAATCATGTATTTTGGCTCTCTTGAAACCTGCTTACCTCTCTGATTTTCAGAACCCTTGGTTAAAGCTTTAGGGAAAAGAAAAGGATATTTCTTAACAAGTCACATGTTGGTACCACCCATCGGCACACACAGGAGCTGCAACACACATTTACACCACAACTGTTGAAACCTGGAAAGCCACGATGAATACAGGAAGAATGTTTCCGTAAGTACACATCTTAGGTTTCCATGTAAGCTCCCAGTTGGTCCTAGGGGCTGCAGAGGAGGCTGTGCTGGTCCTGTGACCACTGCTGGGGACAAGAGGCAAGCTCTGAGCACAGAGCCAATGGGAGAAGGGGAGTATGCCAAACAGCTGGGATCAAGGCACCCCAGCAACACCGGCCGTGCTGTCCTGTTAATGAAACGGCTGTGTGGTGGCTCGTGACAGGCCATCACTGCAAGTCTCTATCGCCATAAACCACCAGGGACAGAGCAATGTGGCCTTCCCACTTCCCTGGGCAAAGCACTGCAGTCATCCCGGGAACAGAGTTACTGCCGGCTGTTTCTCTAGGTTGACATGGAATCTACACACAGGCAAAACTGCCCACTACAGGGTACACTTAGATGAGTGTGAACAAACATACACCACTGTCTACTGTCTCCACAGCAAGAAACAGGACACTTCCATCTCTCATGCAGTGCCTTTGTACCCTCTTGCAGCCCCATCACCTCCCCACACAGCCCCCAGCAACCACAGACATGATTTCTGCCCCTTTTCCAGGATGGCAAGGATATATGGAATACACAGTATGCAGCCTGGCTTTTGAGACTGGCTTCTGTCACCCACCATAATGCTTCTGAGACTGATCCATGTTGCTGTCTATGTTAGAAGTTCATTCTTTCTTACTGCTAAGCAGTATCCTATTGTGTAGTTATACCACTATTTTGTTTATCCATTCTTCCTGTTGAAGGCTGCTTGGGTCATTTTCAGTTTGGGGTAATTATGAATAAAGAAGCTATAACGTTCATCTATTGGTCTTTTGTGGGGACATATGCTTTCATGTCTCTTGGGTGAATACCTAGGAGTGGAAATGTCACATGGCACATGTACGTTTAACCAAAGTGCCAAACTGCTATCCAAAGTGACTGTGCCACTGTGCATTGCCATCAGCAACGTATGAGAGTTCCCCATCCTGCATGCTTCCAGCACTTAGTATTGTCAGGGTATTTTGTTCTGTTATTTTTAGCCATTCTACTTAGAGTAGCAATATTGCATTGTGATTTTAATTTGCATCTTTTTAAAGTCTAGTAATACTGAAAATCTTTTCTTATGACTATTTGCCATCTGTATGCCTTCTTGACTAAAGTTTGTTCCTTTTTTTCTGAGACAGGGTCTTGCTTTGTTGCCCAGGCTAGAGTGCAATGCCACAATCATGGCTCACTGCAGCCTTAACCTCCCAGGCTCAAGTGATCCTCCCACCTCAGCCTCCAGAGTAGGTGGAACTACAGGTGTGCACCACCACACCTGGCTAATTTTTGTAATTTTTGCAGAGATGGGGTTTTGCCACGTTGCCCAGGCTGGTCTTGAATTCCTGGGCTCAAGCGATCCTCCCACCTTGGCCTCCCAAAGTGTTGGGATTACATGTGTAAGCCACAGCGCCTGGCCTGTTTCCTTTTTAATACATTTTTTTTTTTTTAAATCAAAGGTATAATAATGACTTGTTTTTAAAATGCAAGAAAATTAATTTTCAAATATTTAACAAATCAATCATACATTAAAATCAGCACATACATAGTTAACTATTTCTGCTCTATCAGTTTTGTAATTAAAGAGCTCTCTTCTACCTTTTCAAAACATGAGCTTGTTTTGGGACAGCCAAATAGCAGAAAACTTTAGGTAGAAACTGAATATAAGCACGCTTTCTTCCAAACATATTAATTGTGATATTAATGGCTTCATTCACAAAATCCTCATTTTTGAACTAGGTATGAAGCTATGTATCTAACTTCCTCTAAATTCAGGCTCACTCCACTCAGAAACTAAGCTACTAAAGACAAATGCTCAGCATACATGTGCCTGGACGTCCCTTCACTCCCCTGAGGGACTGCCTGGCAGACGGAGGGCCAAGCATGTTCCTACTGAGGGACTCAGCGCTTGGGCACAGGGCACTGGAACTAGGGCACTGGGAGGAGGGGGTGAGAGGTATCCTGAAGGCAATATCCAAAGGGCATCTTCAAGGACAGGTAGGAGGCTGCCCAGATTAAAGGTGAGGCCAGGGAAATAATTCCAGGCACAGGGAACAGCACCGGCAAAAGGAAGGTGTGTCCACATGGCGACCCTGGGGCCCTGAGAGAAGTCGGCTGGGAATGGAACACAGAACACAGGGAGCGACCGGCAATGAGGGAGGGCAGATGCTGAGAAACTGGGAGGGTTAGGCCTGCATCCTGAAAGGCATCAGGCTTGGGGACTGGTGGGGCTCAGAAGGCTGGCAGGGGTGGGGACATCCTGGAAGGAAGGATTGAGAGCAGCCTCCAAAGAACGGGGCTGCCCAGTGGAACCCAGGGCAGGCGAGCCAAAAAAGGGAGCTGCCCACCCTCCAGGTGGCAGATGTGGGGACAGAGGTCGTGGGATCCCTGGCTCCCAGACAGGCTTCTCTGCATACAGCATCCCCGCCTTCTCCAGGTTGTGCCCACCTTGGGAAAGAGAACCTCTTTTCTTTTTTTTTTTTTTTCCTTAAGACAGAGTTTCGCTCTTGTTGCCCAGGCTGGAGTACAATGGTGCGATCTCAGCTCACCACAACCTCTGCCTCCTCAGTTCAAGCGATTCTCCTGCCTCTGCCTCCCAAGTAGCTGGGATTACAGACATGTGCCACCACGCCCGGCTAATTTTGTATTTTTAGTAGAGACGGGGTTTCTCCATGTTGGTCAGGCTGATCTCGAACTTCCAACCTCAGGTGATCTGCCCACCTCAGCCTCCCAAAGTGCTGGGATTACAGGCGTGAGCCACTGTGCCCAGCCAAGAACCTCCTTTCTAGGGTACTCCGGAGGCCGCTCTCCTGCCTCCCAGGGATGGGCCTTGGGGGCCGCATCTCTCACAATCAAGCTCTGCCTCCAGGGAATCCACTCCCTTCCCCATGCCCTTCCCCGAGCCCAGGACTCGCCCTGCCGCCTGCCCTCC